TCGGCAGGGCGCCTAGGCAGAGAAATCGGCCGAAATCGGTCAAAATCTGCCTAGTCGGCCAACTCGGCCGAGTCGGTCAATTTTGACAGATTTCGTCCGGTCCAGCCGTCCGTAGACTATACTAGTTTGATACTTTGAATCTTTGGATGATTGAAGTATTTGAGTATTTCATATTTGAGTATTTTTATTTTTTAATATTATTTTGATGTTATGACTTATGAATTATCATTATTTCATTTATTTGGATGTGTTATTTGATTGAATGTTGAAAACATCATCATTAAAATTGTCAAACTGCTAGTCTCCTACTATTTTTTTGGCGCCTACCTAGCGCCGCCTAGATTTCACCTAGGCGCTAGGCGCTGCCTGGCGCCCGACTAGCGCTTACTGCAACCATATATATATATATATATATATATATATATATATATATATATATATATATATATATATATATATATATTAACCTGTGTATTTTGTGCATTGCTATCGGCCCTTGTTTTGTGCACCAATGGGTTAAGTAAGGTGTGCACCAGAAAAATAGCATATATATATATATATATATATATATATATATATATATATGTGTGTGTGTGTGTGTGTGTGTGTGTGTGTGTGTGTTCCTATCTTTTGAATGTGTGCTCTTGGTGATGACTCAGTCATATATTCATCATATCTATTCAGCTTAAATCAAGAAGATAAACAAAACAATTTCACGAAAAGTCAAATTTATATTAGAACATTGAAATTAATTAATGAGTTAATTACTCCACCAACTTACTAGGACTATGTGGTCCAATGGTATCCGGGTTGGACTTCCACTTGAAAGGTTGTGAGTTCGAGCCTCAGTGGAGGTGTTATTAGCTCTTTGTGTTTCAATAGGTTGAGAAAGTATATGAACAGATACTACAATGTAATAGAGCTAGTAGCATTCAAAAAAAAAAAAAAAACTCCACCAACTTGATTATGAAGTCAATCTTATAAAGTAATTATAATTATAAGCATATATATGCAATTAAATTTAAGCATCTTCAATTCGATCTATGCGTGACGTTGTTGGTTGTGATCGAACGTAACTAACTAAACGTGATGTAATTTAAAGGACCCGCTAGGCTAAAGAAAAATATGTATAATGAAAAGTGTAATATTAATTAGGGAAAATTGTCAAACAGGTCATCGAACTTTAGTTAAAAAGTTAATTAATCTTTTCAACTTTTTAAATGTGCAATTACACTTATGAATAATGCATTTTGATGCAATGAAGCCCAAATATAGATAAATAACCTGCTAACATAGGTCATTGAAGATCCGGTCACTTTCTGACGATATTTTTAAGCAAAAAAGTGATCGGCCACCGACGAACATGGTCGGATTTTGAGTTGTGCAAGCTGGGTTACATCACAGGGCCCCAAATTTTAGAGACCCAATATTTAATTTTTACCTAATTACTTTAGAAATAAAAACTAAAAGTTTCCAATTAAAATTAAAAGGCTCCATAAAGAAATGGTAAGAATTTATATTCATTATATTTTAATTTTAACTTAGAAGTTAATGGTTCAAAACTTGGGTGTTGCTCCGCTTTGAACATCTCTCTATTTTTTAATATCATCTCTCATTTATTTACTGTTAATTCAAAATTAAAGTATTTCAGAGTCCAAATAGAGAAATCTTTGAAAATTCAAAACTTTAGTCGTAATGGTTGAATTAATATATATATATATATATATATATATATATATATATATATATATATATATTTATTTATTTATTTATTTATTTATTTATTTATTTGATATAGTATTAATTACATGGAAAAGTATTTGTCCTTTAAAAATATGCATTAAGAAATGAATAAATTATATTGTAGTATTGGTGTGCTTGAGGAAAGGTTATATGATCGAACTTGAATAGTAAAGTATTGACTCTTTAGACTGTATTATTTTGAAAAAGTTAAATATTATTTTGTATAGAATCAATAATGTTAAAAAAACATTGCAGTGTTGGTTACGTTTAAACAGTTGGTAACTGATTTTATTATAAAAGCAAGTCCTAACTCCGAACTGGACTATTAATTCTAGTATTCTACTGCTGCTACTTCTCTAAATACACGCACAAACTCTTTTCCGCTCCGCTCCCACAGCACAACCGACGCCGTCCTCTTCCACATGACTGATCATTCCAGCATTCACGGCGGTGTAAAATCGTCGAATCAACCTTCCTCTACTCCACCGCCTAACGATTCATCTCGAATCGGAGGCTTCGATTCCGACTTCGTTGTCATCCTCGCCGCGCTTCTCTGCGCCCTAATTTGCGTCCTCGGCCTGGCCGCAGTCGCTCGCTGCGCCTGGATCCGCCGGATCTCTGCCGGAGCCGCCGCTGCTCCTCCGCCTCCGGCCAACAAAGGCCTGAAGAAGAAGATCCTGAAGTCGTTCCCCAAGCTCAGCTTCGCCCCCGAACTCGCCTCCAAATTCTCCGAATGCGCCATTTGCCTCACGGAGTTCGCCTCCGGAGACGAAATCCGAGTCCTGCCTCACTGCGGCCACGGCTTCCACGTTGGATGTATTGACACTTGGCTCGGATCTCACTCCTCCTGTCCGTCTTGCCGCCAGATCCTGGTGTCCTCCAGGTGCCAGAAGTGCGGCGAATTGCCGGCTCCTACCTCTTCATCCACCGCCGCACCTGTGGCCGACACCAGATTTCCTCCCAGTGCCTATCACGTAAATCCTTTTTTACCTTAGTTTAGCTAGCCTAGCTTTACTCCTTCCACTTTTCTGTATGTATGTATAATGTATGTATATATACAAGTGTACTGTGTAAAACCCCTATTATCACCATTAAATTACAAATTAATAACCGAACTATTTGTTACGGTGTCCACTATTTGATAAAGTGTACATACCGCCTCAGCTCCCCTTTCATCACGTCCAAACGCTCTGCTCCTATTCCTATACAATGAATTGTCATTTTCTGCTTACCATTTTTTGCGGCACTGACTAATCACATCACATGTGACGACTATTTCTCAACTTTTTTTCCTAAAACAATCCCTCAAAGTTAAAGCCAATGAGGAAATGACTTTTTAGCATGTGCTTGTAGCTATTGTGGTTTTAGCTTTAGGAGGATATATACCAATCGGCAATCGCTCCAAAAGTTGTTACCTCTCCATATCAGTTTTTGCAAGTCCAAAATACTATTAAATCTTAGCTTTCCGTAATCACAATTCAAATTTCTGAAAAAGAATTAAATTTTTTGAATTATTAGTTAAAGTTAGATTGTGTGAATCTTTGAAAAGTGAAATTATGCCAACTTTTTCGTCATCTCAATCACAAATTATACGAGGTTCCACTATCAACAAGTTTTAAACCTGACTTTTTAATACCAAGTATTTCATAGTTAGAGTCGGTACTATCTGCATCACAATTTGCGTAATATTAATAGCCGCCGAAGAAATTTTAGATATAAATTAAGGAATGAGATGAGTGATGACAGACTGACAGTTCATAGCATTATTAGATACTATAAAATAATGCAACGGATAATTTAAATTATTTGGCATCGTGAGTGCTAGAAGTCGGTAAACTGAACCTGGCCACCAGATATGAACCCCCGTCCTTAAAATAGTCAACCATTATATAATGGGAATATAATTATGCAATTGGAGATTCATGCCAATTTAGGGGAAACCTAAATTCCACACCGTATCACAATAAAATACAGCAAATATAATTGTGGCAATTAAATTAGTATATGCAGTATCACTTTACCTATTAAACTATGACATAATATATATTAATTGCCATACTATTATAATTAAATTAGTATATGGAGTATCACATGATATTATAATTAAATTACTTAATATATTAATATAATTGCAGCTCTTATATATGTAGTTGATTTGATACATACTATAAAAAGTGATACTATTGATTTTATTTCCCTTATAAAATTACTCAATAATATTTTCTTTGATCTTATAAATATTGTCATGTATTAAAGGTTTTTTATGAGAAAATTAATATTTTTTTAATCGATTGAATTAACCTAGCTCATAGTGGTTCAGTCAAACAGGTGGTGGAATTTTATTATTGATTTTATGGAGGACTCACTATTTCAATACCAATGAACTGATGTTAATCTGTAGGTGGAGCATATAATATAAAATCATAGGGCGTTCTATTAATTTTATGGGATGTTCACTTAAACAGGTAGTGTTAATTTTTTTATTATTTTTTTAAAAGTTGAGTGAGTAAGTAAAGTATTTTACAGGTGATTTAATAATAACATTGAAAATAACAGAAAGTAAATACCAGGACTATGTGGTCTAATGGTACTCGGGTTGGACTTCCATTTGGAAGATTATGAGTTCGAGCCTCAGTGGAGGCGTTATTGGTTCTTTGTGAGAAAGTATATGAACAGATACTACAATGTAATAGGACCAGTAACTTTAAAAAAAAAAAAAACAGAAAGTAAATAAATGACCAAATTAAATTACGGTTGTATAGTCAATGATTCTATTATATAAAATTAATAATCATGCATGGACTAAATGAATGAAATTCACATAATTGATTGACCAGATTAAAAATTAATTCAAAGTGGTACAATAATTTGAGTGTTAACTGGACCAGCGGACCACATGGTGCTGTAGCCTCACATTATTCATTCTTTTGTCCTAACAAGATAATAAATTATGATTAACATAAGTTATTAGTCCACATTAATGGCACTTAATACCACCCTTTTATTGGGAGCCATTGAAATTAGAGGTGGATCGGAGGACCTACCAACACAGCACCCACTACAGCCCCAATTTCTGGGAAATACACATCTTAGAGCAAAAAGGGAAAATGACATTTTTTTACACTTTAATTATATGCTTATAGTGTTTTTATATTCTAAATTATTAATGTATATACATTAATTCTCTTTATTATTTTTCTTTCTTTTTATTAAATAGATATTTTTATCTTTAAAAATAATGACAACCAACTGCCACTTTCCCTGATCTTCCTCCGTCCCTGCGTTTTCCGTTGTTCAACTGTCATGTCTTCTATTTCTTACTGTAGATCTAGAGTAGAACCTGCAAATACTATGTAAAGGGAAACAAAAATGACTTTATTCTTCAATCTTTGGATTTAAAAGAAAAAAAAAATGGCTAGAAAATCCAGCTCATTCTTTGGGATTTTCTCCTACATCGCTTCTTGAACACCCATTCGGTTAGAGAAACTTAATTGGTTTCAGTGAGCAGGCAGGCACGGTGTTTGTTGTAATGCATAAGAGAGTCTGTATCGTGGATCTCGATAATGGCAGTGTATTTTTACAATGAGACATGGGATACCGCTGCAGTAGTTTTTTAAGAGGTTTGAGCTAAGACTTTCTACTTTACTGTTTTCTTTCCCTCGTGTCAGACTTGAGACCAATCCTTGGATCTGAGTGAATGATGTTGGACATGAAATGCAGGTCTTTTTGGAGTTGTCTGGAAGGTTGTTAGTGAGGATAGATGTCAAATCCAAATTTGGTTAGCTGGCATCTTATTTCAAATTGCAAGGTATGCACTTTGATGCATAACATGATAGCAAATCAAATTCTTGTATGCAAAATGCGAAGGAACATTTCACCATGGTTTTATGACAGCCATTCACAATCACTGCAATTGAAAGTCTTGTGTTTAATGTTCTTGTCAAGACTTCCTTTTTATCCCACTTAGTACATATTGCATAGCTTCCTTCATAGTGGTTCTGAGCTTTACATGAGAACTGACAAACATTTGTATATTTGAGAAACCTGGTGCTATGTGATAACATTCAAGATATTGAAGCAAGCTACAAACAATTTACTAATATACAAGTTTTCATTAGCATTAGTAATGATAATAATGGACCATACGCTTTGTTTTCCACCCCTTTTTTGTCTGTGAAGAAATGTTTAAACTACCATACAACAACAAATCAACTTACTAGACTGAAAAAACGTAAAAGGAAAAGAAACAGTATGGATTGTGTGGTTTACTTGGTGAACTTGACATCTGGGTTCCTTATTGGTTTGAGCCACATGTCAGCCATTATACGCGAGGATATGCTCCATATCAATTCCTGGCCCTTTGTAGCTTGATGTTTCCCTTTTTTCCCCATCTTCCCCAGTCCATATGCTATCAGCCACTGCATTGCAGTCAACCTCTGCTTCTCAGTGTCCCACACATTTTTCTTTCCTCCACTCTTCACTCTTAAACCTCCAACGTGCAAGGTTGCTACTTTGAACCTCTTCTCCTCATCGTAGTTATCAGGTCCCATGTCAACATGGGCTGCTTGAATTAGTGCTATCATGGGACCTCCAACTGCCTCATACTGCCTCAATGGATCTCGGAGTTGGACAACAACAAATATGGCTATGTTTTCTGTGCTACCATTATCATCATTGGAAGTAGCTACACTGTTATCTCTTACCCAGTCTTCAAGTGGAACTGCATGTGCCAGTGGATGACTTTTTTCTTTCTCTTTGTCTTCACTTGTTTTCACATTAATTGCAGAAACATCAAAAGGTGCCTGTTCTTCAGCAATGCCTGCTTGAATTTTTAGAGCTTCAACTGTCATTTCTTCTATCTTCTGCATTGAGAATGCTAGAATCTCCTCTGCTGTCAAAGGATCTTCACTCACATTCCAAATTCCTGTTGAAATCCTTACTTTCCGGCCGCTGTTCATTGCATTTGCCATGGATTTGACTACAGCAACGGTGCGAGCAGCACTTGAGTTGGCTCCTTCCTTGTTCCTTCCTTGAATAATTGATGAAGCAATGCCTTCAAAAGCTATCTGCTCTGCTGTCTTTCCTATGAGTTCATCCATAGGCATCAAAGCCAAAATCTGAGAGCTCATCTCTTCAACTCCTGCAGCTGCCATTCTCTGGAATAACTCAATTCCGTTCACTGATGTGTGCGAAGGAAGAACTAATGGTTTTGACATCTGCATTGCAAGTTTTGGGGAGTCTGTTCTTGCCAATGCAACATTTAGAGGATTCATGGATGCCAGGTAACCTCCATTCCTTGTTTGAACAACGCAGCCCAATCCCTTTCCAAGATCTGGTAAGAAAACTTCTGATTCTTTCTTTCCAGAGTTTTCATCTCCTTCTAACTGCAATGCTTGTCGATTAACTTTGAATTGGTTTGTGTTTGGATCTTCAAGCATTTGAAGAAATTCTCTCGTGACCGTTTCTTCATCTGCATCTAATCCTTGCGATTGAGTTTCATCTTCTGTTTTAACTGAGCTTTCATCTCCCAACATGGATTCCAGGGCTTTTATCTGCTGAGCAATGGCATCAAGCTCTGTCATTCTTGTCAGATGAAACTGATCCTGCACAATTTCCTTGACAACCTCGCTGGAGACTGACCTTTTATCAGAGTTTGAGTTTTCTTCAGATAGCTCATCTTCCACCCTATCTTTTTCCTGGATCTCAACTCCCTTATCCACTACATCAAAATCTGGGATATCTAGATCTTCCGCCTTTTCATCTGGTTCCTTTACAGACTCTTGAGCTGCTGGCGTTGCCACAGCAGGTTCATCAAGGTTCAGCTCATCTATTCCTTGTAAATCTGTAGCTACGAGTTTCTGTGAAGGAGTTCTGCCTTCAGCTCGACTAGAGATTCTTGGACTTTGGACACTGAAGGAGGTTTTTGATTGTCTACGAGCAAACGAAGATGATGAGTAGTCTCTATTCTTGCTTGTCTTTTGCCCTTCTGCTTGACTATAAATTCCAATGCCTCCATCTTTGTCCATTATCTGAAACCCCAGCTTCAGAACAAGCTCCCCTCCCTTGGCTTTTCCTGACAAATTAAAGCTCGTGTCCCATTGTCTAATACGCGTACCTTCAAAGCTTTTGTCTATGGATTCCTGAATTAGTTGAGTTAAATCCACAGAGCTTCTTCCAAAGTCAAGTTCATCAGCATCAACAGCAAACGCATATATCAAGAATGGCCTTGGCTCAAATTTCATGTGTGTTCCATTGCCTGGGGTGAAATAAACATTGCACCTGATGAACAGAGTCTCTTCAAAATCAGCAGCTCCTTGTGAAACTCTGGAAGGCATTGTCTGCACTGCCCCATCTCTGGTCTCTTTCTTCCTGACACAAACTGAGAGGCGCAGCCCGTTCATTGAAGCAGGGAGGCCTTGAACCGCCACCACTTCAACAGAGAACAGACAGCTTAGCTTCTGCTTACCAATGTGGGAGAGAGCTCGAATCGGCTTCCAGCTCAGAAGTCCTCGTTTCTCTGAAGTATCAGCAGCTTTGTCATCTAGCTTCTTAATCTCCCTCTGAGTTGCAGCCTTTGTGAGCTCCTTCTTCTTCTGCTCACTCGGATCATCATCATCAAGCTTGGGCCTAGAGCGCCATGGGGACAATGACATGCGCCTGGAGCGAGGCTTCGGGTTGATGATCTTCTGCTCATTCTTAACAGCAACATCGTCATCATCAGCAGCAGTAATTAAGGTAGGAGGAAGTGATGTCCTAGGAAGCACTAAGGATGCAGTCCTTCGAGTAGTTGAAGTGTGGGTCTGATAGAGTGATTCACTCAGGGCTTCCAGCTCTTGCAAGAGCTGTGTATTGGAATTTCTTCGGGTGGAGTAATCTGCCATAGTCTAACAGCAATTCAGGGAGGAATTGAATTGAATTGAATTTGGTAATTAAAAATGGGAATCAAATTAAAGATAGATAAACATAGAGGAGGAGCATTGGTGAAGAAGGGCGGGTTAGGTTGATGTGTGCATTTGAGGCCAGGAGGAAGGTTACGTTGTATAAATGATCCATATTCCATATTGTGGGCATTACTTGGTGCTTTGTGAACCAAGAATTCTGGACGACCTTAATATGTGAAGGATAAGGTAACAACGTTGGCATTTTTGTCTCTCTTTATCTCATTTCATTTTATCCTGCCCCCTGTCTCTCTCAAAATTTATTAGTTTTTGGCAGGAAAATTAAAGCAGACCTGTTGTTAGGTGTTAAAAGATTGTTTGAAGTTTAGCTACAAATTAAATATACGAAGATTGGTTACTTTCTGAACTCAAATTTTCGTCTTTTTGCACAGAAACGGAGCTGCGACGATGCCATCTCATCTGGTGAATGGAAGTAGCGTAGCACCATCTTTGGGTTTTTGGATTTTTTTTTTTTTTTTTAAAATTGGTTTTTGTGAAAACTAGCTTAGCGAGGGCGTCATATACTCATATGTCCTTGATTGCGTACTAGAATGTACCATAATCACGAGAAACATATGATGTTGTGAATTTTCAGAATTATATTAAATAAATATATAGGTGGAATTGGAAAAGGATAGGGCAATGCATTTAGACCATATATGTTTTAATTATGCTAGGTTCTCTATCTAGGTTTTATAATAATACATTTTATCAAAATTCATACTCTAGTGAAATAAGTTATCAACCTTGTTTTGAATCAGTCAACTAATTAAGTTATAACTCAAAAATAATAAATTCAGTTTAACCATTACACAAAAAGTTAGCAATAATTCACCATTTACTTTTAATATTAAAAATATTATAACACAAATTAAATTTAAATTAAAAAAATGAAATTTATAATATAATTTTAAATTTTTAACATTATATTGTTGCACGTATCAAGTTCTGATTAATTTAAAAAGAAAAAAAAAAATAACAGTTGCTAAATTTTTGATTGTTAAATTAAGGAGTAATGTAGAATGGAATTGAATAGAGAGCAGTGCACGTTTTTAAGATGAGAAGTCAAGCTATAGAATAGATAAAGAATGACCATGAAAAAATGAAGAAAAGTGACCATTAGTTCCAACCAAGTCGTTTCTTCAATTCAATGGACTCCTCCTTATTCGCATGCATTCTTAACCGTACGTACTACCTTAAATATATATATATATATATATAAATCATTCTACGACACTCGATGGAGATGAGTTAATTAAATATACGACGTTTGTTACGTTTGTGAAGATCGAAAGAAATATATATAGATATAGATAGATAGATAAATAAAGATGGCGAGCGAACAGTTAATAAGGAGAGAGGAAAGTGCAGAAAGGTGCAGTAGCAAGCAAAAGCAAGGTGCAAATGAAGTGAGCATATCAATAATGCCTATGGAAAGTAGTCCCTACCTTAAATACTGTTATCTTGAGGACTACTATAATAATGGGCGTCCTTACGACACCGCCGCCCACCGTCGTCAATCCCAGTCACCGCGTTCCTCCACCCACCCACCCACCAACGCTTGACGCTTCCAACCATCTTCCGCTGCAACTGCGGGCCGCGCCTCGCCGCCATCTCCATTGTCCATAACTACCGTTTGCCGGAATCGACAAAAATTATAACTCCAATCCTCTCATCGATTCCGCTAGCTAGCTAGCTAGCTTATCAACAAACCAACATCTCATCTCTCGCTCAAGCATGCATGCATGCAATTTTATTTTTATTTTTATTTTTATTTTTATGTGCCAAAGATTATTCTTTTAAAACTTTTAGTGACGATGTGGAACTGTGGGTATTTCAATTCATACCAACCCACCTTAAACTATAGATGTAATTCATAGCTACGTTGTATCTTTTTCATGCATCAAATTTTATTTTAGTCATATATTATTGTTCTTTAATTTGTAGAATTTGAAGTGTTTGTATATATGTATGTCATTATGATATGAATATGATTGTGGCCAACACATGTTTTATTATACAAAAAGCAACAAAGGGCAGGGTAATTCTAGTCAAGTTGGTCAAACTATTGACTTCCAACAGAATTTAAATGACCTAGCTATTGGCTGGGTTTCTTTGTTTGATCAGAATAGCTAGCTTTCTTTGTTTGAGCAGTCAATTATGGATAACTAAACCAATTTACCTAGGCCAATTTACCTCTGTCTAGTCGGCCAATTTACCTCTGTCTAGTCTTTTACCGGCTAGCTAGGGGATTTGCTCCCTGCACACCCTAAGTAGTGCTGCAGGTTTCCTTGTAATAATAATAATAGTAATAATAATAATAATAATAAGGGAAAATGGCGAGTTTGGTCCCTGAGTTATAATGGTAGTGACGACTCAGTCCCTGAGTTATGACTGTATCCATTTTTAGTCCCTCAGTTAAGAGCGAAGTGGCGCATTTGGTCCCTGACCGTTAAAATTGACGGAAAAATTAAAAAATATTTAAAATTTTAGGGGTAAAGTAGGAAATTCACATTCTATTCACTTTCTTATATTGAAATCACTTTTGCAACATTATTTTCAACTTCCTAGCATCATTTTATTTCAAGGTTCTTCAACTCTAAAAGCAATTCAATAATCTTCGTATGACTTGTTAATAACCTGAGTCTCGTATAAGGAACTTGTGATTGATCAGTACAAACAAGATAACACTTGATCATTGTCTTCAAGCATGTAAAACACATCATCCGAAAAGTGTATGATATCTCTTACTAAACATAATGGTAATTAAACCATAACTTTTGAAATACAAGAAGATATCAAATTTCTCATGTTATTTTTATGACAAATTCACCAAGGGAGTAACTTGAGATTTTTAGTACGTAAAATTCTTTCGTAAGCTCTGCAGTAACTTTATTAAGAATTGTATATCTTGAGAATATATGGATTGAACAATCATGAAATAAGAGGCTAAAAAGTGAAAATAATGTTGTGAAAATGGCTATGATATAAGAAGGAGAATAAAATGTGAATTTCTTATTTTACCCCTCAAATTTTAAATATTTTTTTAATTTTTTCGTCAGTTTTAACGCTCGGGGACCAAATACGCCACTTCGTTCATAACTGAGGGACTAAAAATGGATACGGTCATAACTCAGGGACTGAGTCGGAACTTGGGTATAACTCAGGGACCAAAGATGCAATTTTCCCTAATAATAATAATAATAATAATAATAATAATAATAATAATAATAAGCAACAGAACTGGAGGGTTGGCCAGGACATACTACACTTTTAATATAATCAACTCAGAAAGCAATCTTGAAGCCTCAGTATTGTGTCTTCTTAGCTTGAAAGCAAACCTTAATCTGCAAAGAGCCACACACAAGATTACATTGCATCTTATATAAATTCTCCCTTTCATCTCCATCAACCTAACCACAATATTCCACCATTCTCTCTGATCTGATCTGCCTTTCAACCAACAAAAACCATGTCTTTCTCCAATCTCTTGTGCCTGCTTTCATTACTTTCCCTGTCTCTCTTAGCTTCAGCAGCGCCTGCTCGTGACTTCTCCATTGTTGGGTACTCCCCTGATGACTTGACGAGCATCGACAAGCTCATCAATCTCTTCGAATCCTGGATTGAAAAGCACGGGAAATTATACGACAGTGTGGAAGAGAAGCTGCATAGGTTTCAGATTTTCAAAGAGAACTTGGAGCACATCCACGAGAGGAACCAGGAGGTGACTAACTACTGGCTTGGTTTGAACGAATTTGCAGATTTGAGCCACGAAGAGTTCAAGCACAAATACTTGGGGCTCAAGGCCTTGCCTCAGAAGAGAGAATCAGACTTCACTTACAGAGATTTTGTAGACTTGCCTAAATCTGTTGACTGGAGAAAGAAAGGAGCTGTCACCCCTGTCAAGAACCAAGGTTCATGTGGTAAGTACTGTATCAATGAGTAATTCTTTCTTAGATTCAACAAAAACGTAATGGAATCAAATGCGTTACACAGGGAGCTGCTGGGCATTCTCAACCGTAGCAGCAGTAGAGGGAATAAACCAGATAGTGACTGGAAACTTAACTTCACTGTCGGAACAAGAGCTCATAGACTGTGACACAGCCTACAACAATGGCTGCAATGGAGGTCTCATGGACTACGCGTTTCAGTTCATCGTTTCAAATGGTGGACTTCACAAGGAGGACGACTATCCTTACCTCATGGAAGAAGGCACTTGTGATGAGAAAAGGGTAACTTGACTTGAATGAATATATTATATATTATATATGCCCCTATGACAGGAGTACACTTATCATTTTTTTCATGATATTCTATAGGATGAGTCGGAGGTGGTGACCATTGATGGCTACCGTGATGTGCCCACTAAAGACGAGCAATCTCTCTTGAAAGCACTGGCAAACCAGCCTCTCAGCGTAGGCATTGAGGCTTCCACTCGTGATTTCCAGTTTTACAGCGGGGTAAACATTATATTTAGGTTTCTTTTAAAACTAAAAAACAAAGCAACATAGACATGAAGGAACATAGCAGTTTAATGGGTTGGTTATTGTTAACTACTGCAGGGTGTATTTGACGGGCATTGTGGAAGCGAGATAGATCACGGCGTGGCAGCCGTGGGGTATGGATCTGCTAAGGGGATGGACTACATCATTGTCAAGAACTCTTGGGGGCCAAAATGGGGAGAGAAAGGATACATCAGAATGAAGAGAAACACTGGAAAGGCAGAAGGGATCTGTGGCATCAATACAATGGCTTCTTACCCTATCAAGCACAAGTGACCATAACCAATTGCTTCAGATTACACTTTTCCTATCAGTTACTGAATTGTTTTTCCTAACAATTTCCAATATGTCAGACAGATATTCAAACATTATATTGAAATATAAGGTTGCCCTGTTTGTTTAATGAAATGATAAAAGTGAATGTGATATTCTATGACAAAAGCAGAAAGGGAAATCAAATGCAATAACTGAAACTAGAATTACTGTTTGTATCATCTTCCAATTGTTTTCTAAGAGTTGATTCAACAAAAGTAACACAAAACTGCCTACAGTGGACATGGGCAATGGAAGAACCCTTACACAGAAAGGCCAATGGGGGGGGAGTCTTCTAATCAAAGAGACTGAATCCCATATCGTCATCCGACTCCTCTTTCTCTTCTACCTTCTTTTCCTCCTTTTTCTCCTCAGCAGCTGGAGCAGCCGAGGCAGCACCACCAGCAGGTGCCGCAACAGCCACAGCAGCACCACCACTCGGCACTGAAGCCAACTTTTCCCTCCCGGCTGCAATCAACTCTGTAATGTCTTTCCCTTCAACTTGAGACAAGAGGAGTTCAATTCTATCATCATCAGCCTCAGCTCCAACTGCATGCAAAGATATGAATTTAAATGTTAAATCAAGAACATAAGTACTAAAAGCTTAAATGATAAACTGAATCTTCAACCAAACTACAATCTTACTCCTCATATATTTTATTAGAATAATGTAATCACAATAATTCATCATATTATAGCATTCAACATGATATAAAGGGGCAGTTCTTTTTTCTCCCAAACATCAATTCTGTACACAATCAGGAAGCAAAAGAGCCTATTTTCCTGCCAGAACCTATGTACCACACCCAGATTCA